GGGGTGACCTTTGGGAGGAATCACTTGATGTACATTCAAAAAGACATTCACACATCATATATGATTCTGTTGTTATCCACTGAATTCGAAATGTAACAGAGGAATAAATGGTCTATGAACCAAAGCCTTGTTTGGTTTAAATTTCACCAGACTTCACATCTGCTCTTAAAAGTCTGGGATATGAAAATAATAGCCCCAGAATCTAAGACTTTGCAAAGTTTAATTCAAGGAACTATTGAGAGGAACTCCAATTCAATCTCCAAGCACTTGCTTACTCAGGAATCAGTAGAACAATTTAAATATATATATTGAAAAAACTCACATCAAATGAAAAGGAGAACTAGAATATAGAATATAGATTATAGATTATGTCCAACATAAGAAGTTAGATCATTTTTTAAGATTTGGCACATTGGGAAAATTTAACACACAGGTTCAACAATTCAGTACCTTTCCAGATGCATTTTCAAATGCTGTTACCATTTCCAAAACTGATGTTCCTTTTCCAGTTCCAAGGTTGTAAACTTCACAACCTGCAGTGACTTCAATAATGAAGCAAATGTAATGATACCTAGCCACATCATTCAAGAATTTTCATGCCAGCTTTTACATTCATGTAATACTAAACAACTTTTAGACTTAACCAACATTACACTTGTGCACACACATAAGTGGGCAACATGCATAGAAAAGCATAATTGAGGCAGAGATAAAGTTTCAGGGGTGCCCTAGCCCCAAAAACAAAAAAAAGAGTTGAACTTAATTGAAAGGTAGTAACTCCCGCGGATTGAACCCACGCCACTGTGGGAGCGAAACAAGTGTACTACTATTTTTGCTACAAAGCACTTAAGTTTCATTTTGATCATATTTTAATATATTATAAACATTTTCTTAAGGGAACTGATATGCACAGTGAAAGCGTGGTTTGGAACCGTTTTTTCGTCGTATGCACAGTGAAAGCGCTATTTCAAATAGCGTTTTCTTCAGAAATTTTTTTTATGTTAAAAGCGTGATTTGGAACAGCACTTTCTTAATCAAAAGCGCGTTTTGGAATAACGTTTTCACTATTCATCAAATTTTGGACTCCAAACAGTGAAAGCGTGATTTGTAATAGCGTTTTAGCCTAGTTTGAGATATCCATCCAAACTAGGCCTAGTTTGGGAATTAAGATGCAAAAGAGGTTTAATATGAGAAAAGCCCCGAGAATGATATCGATTTTTTTTTGGTAATTCAGAAATTCTGAATTTTGTGATCCCATTCCATTTTGACTCTAAATTTAGAAGTTCTAGAACCTTCTGTGTTTGACGCAGCTGTAAATCTGCTTGCAAGACTTAACCCGAGTTTATTTGCACTTTCATCCTATTTCTGACTGCAGGTTTCTCATGGGGCCAACTAGGCATAACAACAATTAATTACATTTATCATATAGGCAACAATTGTTCAGACAAGTTGGCACTAGAGAAGTAGGGCTCACTTTGTTTCACGTAGCAGCTCCTTGTATCCTTAATCATTACTTATCTGATGATATGCTGCTACAGTAGTGAGGAGTTTGTTACCCGGCACTTCAAAATGCTAAATTTGGTTTACAAATGTTTCCTAAAAAAAAGAAAGACAACTCACCATATGGAAGCAACACTCTTACACTTTCTGCAAGTGCAACAACATTATTGTTCTAGAATTGAGGTTTCACAACTCTATTTTTCATCAAGGAAGCCAAGAGAACGACAAAGAAATGGGGCATCAGATACTTTCAGGTGTCTTACTGAAATGGTATGAAGATGGTTTCTGTACTGGTGTAGCAAAATATGATGGCAATTGGGACCCAGGAGGATAATCTGGAGCAGCAGGAAATTGTGACATCAATCCAGGGGATGAGAATGGGATTTGGTTAGGATATCCATAAAACGAATCAAACCTGGTAGACAGTTTTGAACCCATGTTGCCTGAGACAACAGACGGAAAGATATTTACGGCCTCCCTTGCAGGAAGGTGATTACCTTGTCCCAATGAGATAGAGGATGAAGGCAAACCCAAGTCCTCACTATTTGGAAAGGTAGCTCGAGCTTCAGGCAGCATCGATCCAGGTGGGCCAGGCCAAGCTGTCTGGCTTGGGACACTAGCAGAAATAGCTGCAGGTCCAGGGTATATTGGAAGTTGGCTCATGATTGACAATCCTGCAGGTGGTGGCCGGCCAGCCACCCTTACTGCTAGCATCTTCCCTTCCATTTTGTGCCCATTCATATGTGTCACAGCCATGGCAGCATCAATGGGACTTTCAAATGTAACAAAGCCGTAGCCTTTACTGAAACCTGTGCTTCGATCTTTAATTACTTTCACTTCTGTGATTTTACCGAATGAACAAAACAGCTCTCTCAACTGGTTGTCATCAACAGCTTGAGGAAGATAGCCAACATAGAGGCTTGCATCATTGATTTCTTTGTTGGGTTTCCTTTTTGTGTTAGGAACTGAACCACTGCCACGCCCAGTACTGCACAAAGTGGTGCCAACCTGAGGTGATGTAATAAAGGGACAACTAGATGTGGGATGGCAAAAGCTTCCACACATTGCACAGGTGATCTCCATTTTAAAAGTAGATTGCCGGAGGGGACAGGCATAGTGCTTGTGTCCTTCCTCCTTGCACACACTGCAGATGTTCTCATTTCTATAAGTTCCTTTCAGTTTTGCAAGCTCCACCAGTTGGGCTTGCTTGTGTCCATTCATTCCTTCATCTATTGGGATTAGCAATTTCTCAACCATTCTTACAGCTGCATCCAGAGACTTCTGGTTATCTGCCTCTATACAAACATGCAAGTCTTCATCATCAGAAGAGGTATCAGGTTTCTGTGGTGCTTTCACAGAGCCTTTACCCCGCAGTAGAATCCTAGCTCCAGTTTCCTTCTCCATTCTCTTTTGTGTGTTTCCCCTTGGGCCAATTATAAGGCCAACAAAATTATATGTAGGATATTCTTTCACCGGTATGTATAGTTTTTTAAAGAGCTTTGGTGGCTTGTAATCAGGAAGAATTTTGAAGGTTGGATTCTTCTTAACCAACTTTGAAATGATTTTTTGGCGTTGTTTTATTAGTTTCTCACGAACCCTCATCTGCCTTGTATTTATTCTTATACCAAGATTGTTGTACACTGGTTGGGGAGAAGGAGATCTTTCCTCCTCAGGCCTGTCATCATGAAAATCTGAACTAAGCAGCTTACTGTTTAGCTCTGACAGGCTTAATTTCAACTTCTGAATCTTTGGATCTAACCCAGATCCAACAAAGCCTTCCATGAAGTCTGGAAGTTGAATTGGGCCAAGCATTTTTAACTGTGAGACATCACTAGCCCACCTGGTTTTCCTTCTTTTACTAGCCACGTTGCCTTCCCCAGTTTCCCCTTCTTGTTCAGGCTGAGGTTCCCATCTACTACGCCTTCGTTTTCCAGAACTTCCACTATGCTCCTGTAGTTTAGCAACACTTTCATCATTCAAAATAGCCTCAGAAACTACAGATTTACCATGGAAATCTGTAACAATGGTCCCAACATCTAATTTTGCTTTAAATGCATCCTCCTGTCTGAACTTCTTTTGTGACTGATAAACTTGCAACGGATCTGAATCAGATGTTGTTGCATTCAACGATCTCTTCTTTTCTTCTGAATAGTTGTGATTAGATCCTGATTGGTGATAAGTTCCACAAGCGTCATTCTGAGAAGACAGCTCAGGAGCAAAATCTTTTGCAGCATTCCCATCTGGATCCTCAACTGGTTGTTTGGACTCATCATATTTCCAGTAAGACATTACTGGAGAAACACACTTTGAAGTTTCCTCATCTGACTCTTCATCTGGTCCAACACTTAATTCCTCTTCTGGATCTTCTTCAGGGCCCACTTCTGGATCTTCTTCAGGTTCCTCTTCTGGATCCTCTTCAGGATCCTCTTCAGGATCTTCATCAGGGTCCTCTATTGGTTCTTCCTCCAGTTCCTCAGTCATCCTTTGATTCCTTCGCTTCAAAGCTGTAGTTCTCTTTTGTTTTTGAATTATATGAAGCTTTACGTCACCTGTCATTTGAAGGCAGTGATTATTATCTAAAATTTGGAATTCAATATAAGAAAGATTCTAAAAACTAAAAGAAAGAGTACCGACCAGAATTTGGAATGTTGATGATGTCATTATACAACAGATAAAAGTGATTATGTTATTTTGAGACTTGAAAGGACAACAAACTGAGATCATCATAATTGCACAGAAGTAATAAGGATCTTTAATACGAAGCAAATTATTTTTGTAGAAATCTACTCTACAAGGCATGCACGTGTCTGTCTAGAAAATAGATCCATGAAGGAGGCTAGAGCATAGACAATTCTTAGAGAGGGTGACAGTGTAGATCTCAAGCTTTGCCAGAGGTGGTGGAGTTGATTAAATGGCTTGATTCTTTATGCATGAGGGAGGTCTCCTTTTAGGGTGGCTATGCATGGTGTCCCATGCTCAAGGATAGGTGGCTCAACTCTCTGGATATGACAAGCTGGAGGTTTCTCAACTACCCACTGTGCCCATGGTCAAACCTTGGTGGTCATATCATAGGCTTGCAGTGAGTAGGTATGTTAAGCCTCAGATATTGAGAAGTTGCAGTGTAGGTATGTTTTGTCTTTCGATATGTAACGCCTTGGTTAAATGGCTTGGTGTGTGAAGCTTCCTTTCTAAGACTAGTCGACGTGCAGGTCCCCTCGAGGAGGGGGATGGCAAGACACCTCAACAAACCCTCAACTATAGCCCTCTAGCCTACAAGCCACAAGTCCCTTAGTGATCTCAAGTGGAGTTCCTTGGCTCTACTCCTGACCCAGCTGATATAAAAGTGTCACGGTGCTTCTCTGGAGATAAGTATATATGAGATTGAGGTACCTCTTGGCAGAGGTTTATAAATTCCTCACGAATTATTTTCATTTAGTGACGAATTTTATTTTCTTCACTAGTTTTCGTCACCATAGGCTACTTTTGTTGTAGTGTTAAGGTGCTTTATGTGTAGGAAAATTTCTTCGATGTCAACATTGATGTTAGGTTGAAATTGAATTCCTGCCTCCAAAAGTCCAATGACACAATTTTTGAATCCAGTTGTTTGCAAGGCTTGACGATCACCATCGTTATTGGTATTGTTAGATATGGGGAGGTGAGGTTTGTGCATGTTTTCAGGGCTTTCATCAGATGTGGGGAGGTAAAAATTGTGCAAGATATGAAGTAAATGCTCACCAGAGAGTTCCAAGGATGTACTTTGAATTGCTTGGTCGTTCAAACCCAAAGCCGATTTGAAAAAGAGTAATGCTAATTTGGCCACATTATGCACAGTAAATGATGGTTGTGGTATATGCTCTTTTATAGTGTCGAACAGCTTCTGCAGAACAAAAAAGGGAATCTGGTTCTCAAGTAGTACCAAATCATGTTGAAGTGTTGCAACTGTAACGCCCCAACTTCTAGGCCGTTAATAAATCAATTCAACCTCAAATTTAAAATTCTAAGTAATTAATAACTTTAAAAATACATAATTGTCTCCGAAATAATTACACAAAAGTCTCCAAAATATAACTTATGCAAATCTCTAAAAACAATATATAGTGGTGAGCCTAAAATTCTCTAACTCAATAATCTTTTAAATTCTTTAACTCCAACAGCCACTAAATTTGCTTCACACCTGAAAAATAAATTAATTCAGGAAGTATACAATACGATAGGAGTAACAAAGCTTGAAGAATGAATAATTTCACAGGGATCCAATAATTACACAAACAATTCAATTCGAGATACCAAGTAATTTACCAAATTGCACAAACAAGTCAACTCGACATATGATAATTTATCCAGGACCAAATACCTGGTCTTACTCAATACATGACCAGTGACCGCCTCACCCCCCTCACCCAAGCACAACTACTTATCCGGGCTATTGGTACAGAGCATATTGGCAAAGTCCACTTGATCCATGTATGGAGCATTTCCACGTCATTTAGCCAGACAAATCAACATTTCCAACACAGAATAACTACACAGAGTTCACCAAATGACTAGAGTAATCAAACGAATCAACAATGAATAATTCCACATAATTTATCAAATTATCAAAATCATCAAGAGGATTACAAATTGAAGATGATTAAAATAACACTGTTTGCAAAGAGATTTTAAAGAAAGCATTTTGTATACCACCCGAATTACCTCAAATCAATCTCCTCCATCGCCAATACTCTAATCTCAATATTTCTCCATGGATCTCTGAAAATAACTCTGATCTTACTTTGATAAAATCTACAACTATCATCTGCTATATATCATCAAGGCAAAATAGAATTTCCTGATTCAAAAACACTTAAAGATTGAAATTAAAATGACCATTTCAGATTTTTTCCGAGCCCGGTCTTCCTATGGTTCGTAGAGAATTTTATCTAGTTTTCAGAACATTTTCCGGAAATGGAATAGCTTTCCTAAATTTTTTGTTATTTAAGAAACACTCCAGCGCTGTCCAAATTCGTCCGTTGTTACGAAAATTGAATTTGCTTACAAACCGCTCACTCTTTTTCAATGAAACCAATTTTACTTGAAAGCTAACTTCTTAAGGAAGATTTTGACATGAAATTGAGGTCTAGAAGATTTTTATAAATTTTTCTAAAATTTTCGCAAGTTGGCTATAAAACAGATTTTTCTAGCACAATTCTTGAAATAAGAAAGTTGGTAAGAAAAGAGGTCAACTAGGGGAAATTTTTGAATTCTCTTGTGATGAAAAAATGATAAATAATATGTATTAAACTCAGAAATTAAGGTGCAAGTGTGCCTTTGGAAATTTTGAGAGATTGATATGGAAAAATGTAGTTTTATACCGATTAAGAGAAATACAAGAAGGGTAGAATCAAGGTTCAACTCCTTTCATTTTTAACACAAGAATACCATCAAAACACATCTGAAATGAATATTTAAAACTTCTAAGAGCATGTATTTGAAAAAGAAAAATAAAAGAGAGAGTTGTGTTGTGCCTTACTTAAATGCTTATAAAGCTAGTTTTGCAAGACTTGCTCTCTCTCTTCTTTCTCCCTCCCACAAGCTCACTCTCCACTTCTCTCCTTCTCTCTATGACATGTGGGTGTGTGGGTGTGGTGTTTGATGTTCAAGTAGATGGAGGATGGTGGTGTATTTATAGGAAAAATGGTATGAATTGTCTAAAATGTCCTTTGGTTGAAATGTAATGGAATTGAGTTGTATTTGGTTCAAATGAAATGGAATAGTGGATAATTAAGACCTTAATTATGTATTTAATTATGATCTAGTTAGTATTAAGTCTAATTTAAACCATTCTAATTACAAGTACATTAGACATATATATGTATATATATAGAATTGGTACCAAAGTCATAATTATTACCATGGTTCAAGGGATTTGTTTCTAAAGCACAATGATTATAGTCTAGGAGGTATGATGGCTGGCCATATACTTAAGATTTTGGGAATTTTTGTTGATTATATATATATATATATATGAAGATATTTTGTGTACAAAATTATTTATTTAAGAAATGTACAAGTATATATATGTATATGTGTGTAATGGTACTAGTTTAGGGTCAAAATGTGATTCAAGAAAAATATGAAGGCTAAGGCCTTAATTAAAATATCTATTTCAAGTGTAGAGTTAATAAATTAGTGCTAGGAAAAATAATTCGGTTTGGGTTATCTTGTTTTGAATTTAAAGGTGAATAACTAAACGAAAATTGTGAAAACAAAAAGTTAAGGTTTAGAGAGATTAATATAAAATTTGAGAGTTAAATAATTAATATTAAAGTGTTAGAAATGATTTCTAAACTTCTAGGGTCGATTAGGGTTTGTATGAGTTCGTCTGTGATGCGTTTTCGATTCTAGGATTTAATTCTGTGAATAAACAGGGAAGTAAGAATTTTTATTATAATCACTCAAAATTTAGAAATCTAATAGGATTTACTAAAGTTAGGGTCTCACGGCAACAGTCCGAGCATTATTGATAATTGGGTTAGCAACTTTGTCTTTATATTTGTCAATATTGGAGTTCCTCAAAAACGGGTTTGAGTATGAGGCACGCATCAAATAACAACATTTCAACTAGTTGGTGGTTGTCCAGGTCTATAGTTTATGAATAACATATTCGGACATCTCCTTCCAAAGCTAGTATGGCGATGGCACAATTTTCGAGGATAAGAAGTGCAGGTTTAGATATTCTCATAAAAAGAAGTAGCATGCATCGCCGTTTGTTCTCATTAAAAGCTTACAACTCTTTGTTATGATGATAAAATGGTCCGATACATGGACGAATTCAGGATTATAACTTTGGAGGGGCTACTCTATAGTTTAAAAAATTGGGGGACTACTTTATATAATTTTAAAATTATCTAAAAAAAATTTGAGAGTGTGAACTCCTATAATTTTAAATTATTTTAAAATTTATAATATAATATATGATATTTTTCAAATTTTTGGGGGTGCGGCCACCGCCCCCCTCCCTCCGCCCCCTAGATCCATCATTAGTCCAACGGAGACAATACTGGGTGTATAGGCATCTTTCTTGATTTTTACAAGTTTATTTGGAACTTCATATATACTCATCTTCGACGGCTTTTTCACTTCAGCTAGCGAGTTGTTAATCCTAAGTATCCATTCAGCGGGCTTATGTTCGACTTCTTTCATCTTGTTGGCTTCGTTATCATTCAAACCAAAAACAAGAAAAGAGAAAGAAATGAAAGGTGTTATTATTTTTGTTATGGAAAAAATAAAATTTTATTGATCTAACACCAACTACAATGGTTGATAACCTCTTCCAATTTAAATCACATCATTTAAACATAAATTCTATATGTATATAAGACTTACCATGCCACGTGAAATATATCACAAAGTCTAACAACTAAATTCATTTAAATTTTATCACCACATATAAAGGTTTCGTTTAGCAATTATATGTTTTAATCAAAAAAGTCAAAAAGTCACCATAAATTGTTATATCATTTTCTTTACTTTTCTGCACATCTGTTCATAAAAAATAAAAAAAAATTACTAAATTAGTCTATTCTCAAACAAAGGCAAAATCTCATAACCATATTATTCACTATCAAAATGACAAAACTTCATAATTAGAGTGTATGATACACCTTTGGAAAATGATATAAAAACTTAATTTCTAGACTTATTTTTAAAACTCTGTAATGTATAAAAGAGATCAGTAATTGATGATTAGAGAAAACATTAGAGAATGAGTTGTCTTAAATTTTGTAATAAACTGTCATATCATTAAATTATATATATATTTTTTTTATCGGTAAAGTGAAAATTTCATTAAAAATATAAAATTACAGGTAAGAAACAAAAATGCATCGAGAGAGATTCAGAGAGTGCTAACTCACCTACTACTGCAGCTCACATTCCTTTTAACATTACAAGGTTGTTGCAGGGTAGTGGATTAGCATTCTCATGACTAATAATCCTAGGACAACTAATCCGTTGGATTATGTATCCTATCTTAACTAATAGTCAAGTTTAAAATAATTAATCCGTACTTCAATTGTTTAACCAAACATCGGATTAATAATTTTATTGGACTATTAGTCCAATTCCAAGCTCATGTCCACCCAAACAAACATGACATGTCTTTAAAGCATGCTCACGTGACAATCACATGAAATTTTTTTTTTTTTTTTTTTTTTTTTCCTTTTTTTTAATTAATATTAATATTTTTTATTTTTTGGAGATGAATGGCTTTGTTGGTTCTAAAGCGTTCTGAGGAAAACTATAAAGTCCATAGTAAGTACTCAGTAAAATTATCTTTTTATTTATTTATTTATTTATTTATTTATTTATTTTTTAAGTTGAATATATTGATGTAGCATTAAATTTGATGTGGTGTTCAAAATTTAAATATTTTAAAAATATTTTTGTATATATAATAATGTACAAATTGTAGACAAACAAAATTTTTATATAAAAGCTCAATTTAGAATGATGTAATAATAACATTTTTAAAAGGAGGATCCCTCTAATTCATAATCTGTACTGGAGGGTACTGTTTAGGCCTGTAGAGTCCATCATTAGACCCATTTCAATTATTTGAATCATTCATTTTGTTGGACATTCGTGTATTTCATCCAAACAAAAAATTAGAAAGATACAATAATTGTAACATATTCAATTTATGTCACTAAAAAAATAGATGATAATTGTGTTTTCAAAAATAAACTATTCATTTTTTGATAATGAATGTGATAAATTAAGCCTCCGTTTGGGAAGTGGGTTGGCTTTTTGGTTTTTTGACTTTTTTGGCTATTTTATCCTGGGCTTAAAAGCTTGGTTTGGGAAGGGCTTTTTGGCTTTTTTGAGTTTTTTTGTGAGAGAAGAATGTAATGATTATGGGTTGGATGTTATGTTTTGTTTGTTATGGCTAAAATAGCCTATTTTGTTTTTTGTGGCTAAAATAGCCAAAAAAGCCCAAACCATGGCTTCCCAAACGAATCATAAGTAGTCTACGATTATCGGATCGACCTAATTTTTTGTGTGGATGAAATATATGAAGTGCCTAACAAAATGAATAGTTCAGATTATTAAAACGAAATCCGTTATTGACCTCACAAGCCCAAAAAGCACCATCCAATAGGGGTGCTAAAAAAAATCAGCAGAATTAATAAATCGATCTAATTCGGTCCAAACTTCTGGTTTGGTCATTTTTTTGTTGTTTTAGTTTTAGTTCCGAAAATGGTAAAACAATTCAAATTAGTACAAGTTCTAAGGCTTTGGTTATGGTTCTGAATCAAACTGGACTGTGACATATTTGTTTATTATTTTTATATATAGAAAGTAAAAAATAAAATGTTATTTACAAGATTTGAACACTAATCATCATTGTAAAATTGATAAACTCTAATTAACCAAACTAATTATTGTTAATTTATTTACTAACATGAAATACATACCATATTTATTGTTACATAAAATTCCTATAACTGTAAAATCAAATCGAACAAAACTGGTTTCTATGGTCCGGCCGGTTTCTATGATTCAAGTCTGGTCCGGTTCTACACATTAATAGTTCGGTTGTAGTTCAAATTTTTCTAAAATCGTAAGAATCAATTTGATTCTTAATTTGTTCTAAAACCTGATCAATTCGATTTGTGAGTAGCGCTACGTGATATTTCATGTGTATTGTGATTAGTGAAAGGAGTAGGATTTATAATTTTGTATTAAGTAATTAAAAAATAAAAAAAATATAATAATTTGTAATTGATAAAGGGCTTAATCACATAGTACCATTGGGCCAACCAATAATTTTTCCAAACAATGAGAGGTTTTTTTGTTTACAAACAAGTGGACCACAGTTCTAGAGGATTCTCATTCTTCTATATAGGAGCGCGGTTTTGCTGCTGTTTATCCTTATTTTTTTGTTGCTTCCAGTCAATGAAATGGCACCATAAAAATTGGCCACGTGTCTAACTAATCACATCACCAATTGGGCATAAATTTCAAACGTTGACGGGAGAAGTTATTACTTGGTCTTGACATTCACCCACCCTATTTATTAAGGAATAAGTGTAACGGGTCCCATTAACTTAGGGGTGCAATTCGGGCGGGCTCAACCCGAGCAATCCGAGCCCAGCCCGAGTTTTTTTAGGACTTGGGCAACTATATCTTGTAATCTGGACGGGCTTGGGCAAAATTTTGATGCCCGAATTGCAATTCGGGCCGGGCTTGGGCAGAACCAATGGCCAACCCGAGCAACCCGAACCCGAATTCAATTTAATATATTATATAAATTATATAATATATAATATATAATATATAATATATAATATATAATATATAATATATAATATATAATATATAATATATAATATATAATATATAATATATAATATATAATATATAATATATAATATATAATATATAATATATAATATATAATATATAATATATAATATATAATATATAATATATAATATATAATATATAATATATAATATATAATATATAATATATACTCGGGCAATTCGGGCAATTCGGGCAACCCGAGTTCAAAATACAAAGCTTGGGCCGGGCTTGGGCAACAATGTTCGGGTTCATGGTCGGGCTTGGGCGGGCTTGGG